TGTGAAAACCTGGCAACGAGAGAGAGAGAGAGAGAGAGAGATTATAGCTTGCTTAATTTCCCAAAAATATTACTTTTTTACATTAATTTAAACCCAAAAACTACTTTTCAGATATGATGTTACTATTTGTGAATACCTTTGCAAATAATCATTACACGTCGCTATTAAAATTTGAACAAACTTTAATTCTTCTTTAATAATTATTGTGATATTTTACTGATAAAATGTATTATATTATAAATTCACACAAAAGTATTTTTAATTCTAACACGATTCTCATCAAACTTATAGATATAAAACTACTTAACTAGATATTTAGATAGCTTTTTTAGATATCTAGATAGTTTATAACTTGTTCAACATATAGCGTATTATCCATTAGATGTAGGATTGTCCAGCCGTTTCATTTTAGATGTACCATAATGTTTTTCAATAGAACACGTCCAAAATTTTCAATTAAAGTTTGATATCAATATTTTTGCTGGTAAGCAAAGTTATATACCGTAGATATCAAATATTTAACAAAATAAGCAAACAAATTATATGAAGTATTGAATTAAATAAAGTACAAATGCAATATTTATCATTCTAACATTGAACATTTATTATAAATAACTTATATAAAAACAATGTTTTTAATAATTGTCCCGATTAACATGGTCAAAGTATGATCCATTATTTATCGAATCTTTATCGTATAGATATTCGCCGATTCCTGGGCCAGCTCGTTGCAATTGAGTCACGTGGTCAGACAATTCCTTCAGATCGATAACCTGTTCGTACAAAAAGTTGGACAAAAAGCGGCTGAAATGTGAATCCTTGACGCTATCGGCCAATGCGTTTTGTTTCGTGAGAGCCTGTGTTATACCCGTTTCCACTAATATAGTCTTCGCCAATGCCTCCAGTGGTGTCCAGCCGTCCTGTTTTGGATACGTCTGAATGTCGGTCAATATGACACGACCACCACGTTTGTTCTGGTATTCCATGAACTTTCTAGCAATACGCCTTAGACCGCAAGCACGTTTCTTAAAAAACGTGTGAAAACCTGGCAACGATACACTGTCGCGGTTGAAGTGCCATGCCTATTTTAAAGATTGTGATATTGTTATTTAAATGACATTAATAATCTGAGTTATTTAATTAATAAATATAAATTCATGCTATCATGGCAACTTGTATTTAATTAGTAGTCTCACCAGCTGTTCATAAAAGTAAAAAGCCATGAATTCACTGCTCGTTATATTATTGATAGCGGACTCAATTTCCGGGTGGAGTTTCTGTTGTATTTGGCTTTCAGCGACATTCTATAGATTATTTCAAAATTTGAGCATGTTTAAAATATAATATTGACAGTAATCTTTATTACTTACTGTGATATCTAACAATGTTAGGCCAATTAACAAAATTGTTATTAAAAGTTAATTAAATATAATGAAAATCAATAATTTAGTCTGAATTGTTTTTATATAATTGTTTTTAACTTACAAATTATTAGTAACGAACAAATAGTAACTCTTGACATTGTTAGTTTTTAAAATGCCGTAATTAACTTATTAGACTTACGGACAGTGAATGAATATCTCAATATGTTATTTACAAAAACACATTATATTTGTTTAATTAATTTAAAATTAGCAAAAAAAAGGTATTTTATAATTAAATAATTTCTATGTGTAGTGTTTTATTAATTGTAATAAATTTGTTTAATTCAAAATCTAAAAATTATTTTAAATTGAACTTAATTAAACAACATTATACAAAAACAAATTTGGAGTATTTATTGTTCAACTGAAGTAAATAAATACCAATTGAGTCATGAAATTTTGAATGAAAATATAATTTTTTAGATAATTTCTTAAATTGTCAATATTATAAACATGGTTAATATTATTATATCGTATAGGAATTGTTTGTTACAACTATTTATAAATAATAGAATTTTTGAATAATAGAATTGCTTAAATTCCTAATGATTATTAAAGTATTAATTAAAGTTATGATTGTACTCTACTGTAATGTATGCTTTACAAAAAGAAATTGAGCTATATTTTATTTTTGAAAATAATGAATGTAATAAATTATTACTAATAATTGAGATTAATTTTATCTATAAATTGTTTATAAGTGTTTATAATTATACTTTCTTATAATAGCTATTAGATACTTTCGCACTTAAAATTTTTAATAATATAATTTATCAGTAGAGTAGATTGATAAATTGGGGGGAATTTTATAATGACGTGGTTATTGATTCACCAAGATAATTTTCCAACTATTATTCACAATAAATGTTACTATTTTACATTAATCACCTGCCCATTAATCCTAATTTGTAATTTTTTAATATTTACCCTATTTTTATATTAATGTACATTATATATGAATAATATATTAATAATACATGAATTACAAGGCAGTGGTTCAATGCTAGATACCAACAGATACCACGAATTTGCTCTGTAGAATATAATCATTACAATAAACTTTAATTGGAGGGAGAGAGAGAGAGAGAGAGAAAGTGCAAGATTAACTAATATAAAATGTAGGTACTAATATTTTCCAAAATATTACTTTTTCTACATTAATTTAAACCCAAAAACAACTTTTCAAATATAATGTTACAGTTTGTAAATAGCTTTGTCAATAATCATTATATGTTGCTATTTTCACTCATGAATATAAATTCAGTGAATAGTTAATATAAATTATAACTATAAATTTTAAGTAAATTCAAGTAAAAATTATTTTAAAATAAAAATTTTAAAACTTAATTTAAAATTAATAATATTTTCAATAAAAGTTTGATACTGTATTCATGTTTGTGTTAATCAAAGTTATATAGACATAAAATATAATATTTAACCAAAAAAAACATATTACTAAAACTATTAAATTAAATAAATTACAAATGCAACATTTATAATTCGTACATTGAATTTTTATTATAAATAACTTATATAATATTTAAAACAATGTGTTTAATAGTTGTCCCGACTAATATTGTCAAAGTATGATGCTTTCAATATAGAATCTTTATCATATAGATATTCGCCAATTCCT